TATCTAATCCGCTTATCCAGTACCACTCAATATGTTGTTATCATTCGGAGCTTAAATATAACAACAATGGCGAGCAATATATCTGAGAGATTTGCATCGTACTGAATCGATGTACATCGTACTAAATTGATGAGAGATTTAGAGAGTAACCTTAGAAATAAGAAAAAATTAACTTGAAGTCACTTTTACAGTTCGTAATATCACTAAAGGACACACCTTACTTGCAATACACATTTTTTTTGTTGAGTGTCCATTGTACTTATCTCTCTCGTTACTATCCCTTTCTCATTACTCTCCATCTCTTTCCTTCTAGTTATTTACTCTAAATAATTAAAAAAAAAAAACAAAGTTCCTAAATCTTAAAAAGCTGCAAATTTTTCTATCTCCTCTATTTATCGTGGCTTGTCATCCACCAATGCTGAATCCATAGATCCTTTCGTAACAGAAAGTTTGGAGAGTGATGTTATGGAGAAACAAAGCCATCGTGTCCTCGGGACTCATTTGTATCGAGTTGAAGTCCAAATTCGACGATAGGAGATCTACAACTCTTCTTTTCCAATGTCACCGCTCTTAGTTTTTTCACACATCTGAGATAGGAGATCTATGACTCTTTTTCTCCAATGTCAATATTTTTTGTTTTTGTATAGTAGGCCCCGAACTTCCTATTATTTTAAGTGTGTTTCACACTTTTAAAGCTTACAAGAAGGTCCTCTTGAATCATTCCCTAAATTCTAATTTTGCACTTAAAATTTTCCCCGGTGTTGCATAATGGTCACTCGCCTTCTGATTTCTTTCAATACGGACACAAATTCTATAATTTTTAAGAAAGACCTCTTGAACCAACCCACAACTTTCAATTATGAAATCAAACTTCTGTGATATGCAAATGAACATGTGGATAAAGCAACAACAAAGTTTGGAAGATAGTCCTTTCTTGTTGCATCTATTTTGAAAGTTGTTCAAACATGAACCGTAGAGTTCACTTCCAAGTGCTTGGAAGATAGGCTCTGGTTGTTACTTTGTCCACGCCTTTGTTGAAGGAATCACGTATACACATGTCCACAACTCGCAACGCCTATTCACAAACCTCAGCCACACAATCTCATCCACGGAACTTATCCACCAAATCTTGTCAATGAAATTTTATCCAAAAACTTTTATCATTTGAAATTAGCTGTTATCCATTTGATGCTAAAATTATTATATGAATGGTTATTAGACAGATCCAGAAAGAAAAGCTTTGACAATTATTTTTCATGAAAAAGATGAATTAGTTTAAGGAGATGTTATGATAAATGAAGAATCAGATTCACAAGTCATTCATCCACAAATCGTTTATCCCTAACTCACATGTCTACATAATTAGAATCCATGTCCAGATATTGTTTATCCACAAAAACTATTTATTAGTTATTAAAATTATTAAAATGAATGTTAAAGTATAAAAGAAAAAAAATTAGAACAAACTATACCAAATACATTTATTTATATATTTTACATTTAGAAATATAGTAAAAAAATAGAAATATAGTAAAAAAATAAGATATAAGGGGTGAATGTATAATAAAAATACAATAGAATTATGTAATACAATCTTATTTTCTACCGTTGGATCTTCTTGGTTCTAATGAAATCTAAAGACTTGCAATTCTCAAATATAAAATTATCTTATTCTAAACTATTCAATTACTTTAATCTAGTTAAAGCACGTTTAATGCAATGGCTTTTAGTCAAAAAAATGATTAAAAATATCGCGGGTTCTTTTTAAATCCCAAGAGCTGTCTCTTCTACCTCTTCCGTAAGAGGTGTTTTTAGGGTTGGCTCTTGACTATCCACGGACTCCACCGACATGTGATGGTCCATGATTGGTACATTTTATTTTTTTTTGTTTTTCAGACATAAATAAATAAATAAATAATTCCTAAAACCTTGTGCTAAGAATTTTTGGGATTAATGATGCTCTTAGACAGAAATAAGTAACACTAGATTTTGACCCGCCCTTAAGGAGGGCGGGACAACTGTTTTTGCTTTAAATTTATGTCCTTGTTTGATTATTCACAAGTATGTATAGACATGAGTATCCGGGTTCAGATAGATTGTCGTTAATAATTTTGGTTTGGTCCAACATATATAGATTAAATACGATATTAATGTGTGGTATAAGATTGATTTTTCTTATTCGTTTTAGTTAGATAACAAATTTTAGAGACCCGATGAAATTATGAGTTCTATTCGATAATCTAAAGTATTGATTTGTAATAGTTTATATTTTGAGTTCAAACTTATTTTTTATAAAAAAATAAATATTTTTAGGGTACTATTATAAACAATTTGGTTGATATTATTGTCATATAAAATAAATAGAGATACAACCGAATGTTTATTTTAAAAATTATGGCCATAAAAATTGACATTGTATTATATAAACGGTATGTGTTTAAAAATATGATTGACAAAACAATTATATAAGAAAATAACATAAAAATTCAAAATACAACTGCGAATGATTATTGCAAGCCCGTAAATAAATCAATACATCATATTAACGACCCAAGTCCAACACAAATATACCAACAATATATCTTTAATATATCTTGGACATGTGACTACCACATATCTTTCCAAGAGCGGGATATATTTTCTTTATAATTGATTCATACGAAACAAAAATTTGATAATTATAAAATTACATGTGTTGAAATTTTGCAACTTAATACATTTATAATTGTGTTGAGCAGTGTTATCATACCCGACACGGGTTTGAGAGTAAGCAACTAAACTTAGTGATATGTATATACTTCAGTTTGGATTTAACTAATTCACCGCTATTTAAAATTTTGATAAAACTTGGTAAGAATCCAATAAAATATTAAATATATTTATTAAATATATTTATTTCAATGGCACAATCCTAGTTTAAAGTGCGGGATTGTTTTCTATTAATAATACTATTAGTCTAGATTTTGACCCGCATTTTGAAAGTGCGGGATTGTTTTCTATTAATAATACTATTAACCCGTTTGTTAGTTCAAAATAGAAATGAAAAATCTATTTGTTCAAGCCGTTTGTAAATTGATAAACATTTTTGACCTGTAGAAAATGAACACATTAAAAAAAGTTTAACTTATTCCAGTACATATGACAAATGAATTTTTGCCCGCAAACTACATAACAAATGAAAATTTTGACCCTTATATATATTAAACTTAAGTTATATTCATAGTACAGAACATAATATGACTCATATATATAGTAAAGGAAGTTTAATATATAAAAATAAAAGTATATGCCAAAACATATGGGAAACAATGAGAATTTAGTTTTTTTTTTAATATATAAATAAAGTAATATTGATTAAATACAACTATAGTTAGATATGATAGGCAAAAATATTAATTTGAAATGTATAAACCAAACAATATTTTCTTTCTATTTATTTTAATTTCAAATTAAAAGATAATACTCATTTAGATAAATATGAAAACAATTAAGTTTTGTTATTTTGAAATCTCCGCATAATCCAAGTTATATTCATTTTATTAGATTATATCCTTAATATCACAATTTTTATTCTTATATGATTAACATTTGTTTGGATGCAAATCTCGTCGCAATGAAGAAGATAATTGAAAAGAGGAGAAATATTTTAAATGATGCTATTACGAAGTATTCTTAATAAGTTATATAGTTGAAGAGTTTATCTCACATATTAATTTATTTGTTACATTCTAACAAATGTACTCTTAAATTCGTTAGTTCTTTATAATAATTTTTTACAAAATATTTTTTAAAAGGTTTATAACAATTTAAGTTCTAGGTATTTTATTTTACATATTTATTGTATAAATAAAACGAAAATTCTATTTTTTTTTTGATGAACTACTAGAAGAACTATATTTAAATTTAAATTTTTATGATGCGCTATATATATCTTTTTATTTTACATGTTTGTTTGCTATAAAACGAAAGTCCTACTCTATCACATTACATTTACTTGAAAGATAAGTTATTAGCATAAATGGTGTACATATATAATGTTTGGTTCATGATTTTATAATATGTTATATAACAGAAAATTACTATTTAACATTAAGTACTTTCTATTTGCTTAAAAATAATTTTTATATCATTAGGAATAGTTACTTTTTACCATATAGTCAAAAGCAAATTATAAATAAAAATTGCAAATATCCCCCTATACATTAAAAGAGAAGTCACTTGAACACGTGGCACTCATACATGCCTTCTCAGAGAAATTCTGAGAATCTGATTGGTTGATTTATTTTAATTTTCGTTTATATTTATTTTTGGTTCGCCGTGCAAATGGTATGAGAATCGTATCTCAAATATTTTGTTAGGTTATTTACTTGCCTTACATTATATTCGATAACTTGCGAAAGAAGTTGGAAATTAAATGCCAAATATGTCAATCTCATACCATTAGGAAAGATTGACAATATATATACGATGTCCTAATGTCTGTAGACCTAACGCAAGTCTTAAAAACATCTATGGCAATGGTTAAAGCTACGAAAAATCGAGTGTCTTTCATCAGGGAATTGAGACCGTGTAAAGATACATGGCGTATTGAGGTTAAGATTCTGCGTTTATGGAGAAACTACAACAGAGATTCCGGAAACACCATCGAAATGGTGTTTGCCGATAAAGAAGTAAGTTCATTACTTGATTCCCTGATGTTAGTTCAATCGTTCTTAATTTTTTTTCAGCAAACATCTTTAACTCTCTTCTCATCACCGTGTAGGGGACAAGAATCCATGCTCAAGTCGGTGAAGTGCTCATAAAACAATTTGAAGGGAAACTAACCGAAGGCGATGCCAAGGTCATCCACTTATTTAAACTGTACGACGCTACAGGTGATTATCGAATCACCGCGCATCCCTACAAAATTGGATTCTTTCAGACTACTTTTGTTGGACCAGCGGATGACTTCCCAAGTGAAGTTCCGGAGAAGTATCTTATCAATTACAGTGATATTATTGATGGGAAGCTTGATATTAGTCGTTTGGTTGGTGAGTCAATTAGTACTATTGCTTTGTCTTACAATATTTTTAAACCATCAAATATTTACTTCTTAACTTGATATGTAGATGTTATTGGCCAAGTAGTTAACTTCGGATCTCTTGAAAACAAAGTCATAAAAGGAAAGGATAATTTCAGGCTATTGATTGAGTTAAGGGACCAAAAGTAAGTTTTAATATGGTGCCTTTTCCTTTAAATTATTGGATCAGCTTTTCTTGTTATATCCATTAACCTTACTGGGCGTTATATGCAGTGATGTCAAGTTGATGTGTACTCTTTGGGGGATGTTATGCTAAACAAGTATATGATTACAGTATGTTAAACATGTCCACAATGATCATTGCTCTTATCCGGTTTTGTTCCATTAAAGAGTGGAAAGGTATAGTTCCTACACTTATTTACTTAAATGACTTCTCTCATAACATCTTCATAAGCTTCGTGCTACCGCAGGTGCTTACTCCATATCTAGTGGGTACAATTCAACCCATATTTTGCTCAACCCAACGTTGGATTTAATTGCAAATTTTAAAGCTAGGTATGTCTCATTGTATTTTCATCTTACCTGTTTACGAGAAACAAGAGGTCTTATCACATTGTTTTACTGTGCAGTCTCCCCAACGATTCACTTGCTCTTACAAACAACGATAGTAGCCAATGGTCCGTTGGTAGTGCTACATCTGTTCGTGCTAGGTTTTTTGTGACTAATGAGAGGCTAACCATAAGGGAGATCATCGATACTGATCTGGTATATTTACTAAACAAGGCTGCTAATCATTATTTGTGCATTTAATAGTTAGAAAAATATTAAGTTGACGCATATTTTTAGGTTGCTACTTTTGTCACTCTTGTCACAATTGAAAGCATAGATGCTGATCGTGGGTGGCAATATCTAAGCTGCAAATACCATAACAAAAAAGTCATGCCAACAACCAATGTTGATGCGCTTAGTCGTCCCTTGTTCTTCTGCACTACATGCGATAAGGAACACATTGAGGTCATTTCAAGGTAATGTATTCATAAATGATTGTTGCAATTATTACTGAATGTGCTTTAGAGCTAGCGTTCACTCTGTGGCATATAAAGCTTAGGTATCATGTTTAGTTTGATGTTTGTTTTCAGGTTCAAATTAATTGCAAATGTTAAGGACGATTCAGGTGAGGCAAAGTTTCTTTTGTTTGACGCCAATGCTCAACTTATTGTGCGTCATCCTGCCGCTGAACTCTATGATGAGGTAGTTTTGATTCATTAATATCAGTCGACATTATGTGATTGTATAGTTATCTTTACTGTAACCGAGAATATATGATCGTAGAATGAAGATCCCGATGTCTTACCTGAAGCGGTTACCGACCTTTGTGACAAGCGATTCCTTTTTGAGATATCAGTTGATGCTGACAACATCAAGGGAAAGAGCTCTCAGTATGTAGTTCGATTGGCTACTGAAGACCGTGAAATGCTTGAGGAATTTCCTGCTTTACCTCCTAAACCAGAGGTATTAAAACAAATGATTTCATTGCCACGGAAGCTAAATACTATGAGATTACATAGCGTTTAACTGCATAGATTTATGACTTTGGTCCTAATGTTGCAGAACTCGGATGTTATTTCCTTTGGTTCTGGTGAGTTTTCAGTAACTCCTTTGTCTAAAAGAAAAAACCAAGAAGATCATGACACAAGCCTTGAGGATCAACACTCCGTTAGCAAGAAACCATCCCAGAAGAAAATCAAGGGCGAGTGATCCGTTGAATATTTAAAAATACTTTTTTCTTATTATTGTTATGGCTTTGTCGCTGAGAGTACTTCTATTGTCATTTCTTAATTTAGCTTAAAGAACCTTTCTGTTATGGATTTTGGTTAAATTTTATAAACTTGCATTTTTTCTTCACTAAACCATGTTAAGTGAAGTGCATTATTCATGATTTTAAATTTCTGGAGGAAAACCGATGTTGTAAGTGTATTCCCATCCACAAATTGAAAGATAGTTTCTTGCAGAATTCAATAGTAGATAAAAGTAGTCTTATATCGTTTTTATTTTATTATGAGAAGAAATAATTTATAAAGAACTCAATTTGAATAATCTGTCTCATTATATTTCCACCTCAAAATCACATTTAATAAAGTTAATATATTAATCAAACATATTCAAACTTAAAAAAGGATATGAAGACTAAATCCTACGTAAATTAGGACCAATGGTAAGGCAAAGCAGCTAAATAAATACAAATGTATTTCATGAGAAGGTGATGTTTCATGCCTTTGCCTATATCGGAATATTGAATATATTACTCGAGCACTACTCATTTTCCTTAATCTTATGCATTTGAGTATATTATACGTCATGAAAAATGGAAATAATACACCTTTGCTAATATCGGAATATTGAATATATTACTTGACCACTACTCATTTTCCTTAATCTTATTCATTTGAGTATATTATACCTCATGAAAAATGAAATTAATACTAAATGATTGTCTTTCCTGTTTTAAATGTAAATTTTTCAATTAAAGGCTGCATAAGATTACAAATCATTAATATCGGAATATTGAATACATTACTTGACCACTACTCATTTTAAAAAATCTTATGCATTTGAGTATATTATACCTCATGAAAAATGGAAATAATACTAAATGATTGTCTTTCCTTTTTTAAATTAGATTTTAAAAACTGGTGGCTGCATAAGATTAAAAATCATTAATATCGGATATTGAATCTATTACTTTACCACTACTCATTTTCCTTAATCTTATGCATTTGAGTATATTATACCTCATGAAAAATGAAAATAATACTAAATGATTGTCTTTCCTTTTTTAAATGTAAATTTTTCAATTCAAGGCTGCATAAGATTACAAATCATTAATATCGGAATATTGAATACATTACTTGACCACTACTCATTTTAAAAAATCTTATGCATTTGAGTATATTATACCTCATGAAAAATGGAAATAATAAGAAATGATTGTCTTTCCTTTTTTAAATTAAATTTTTCGGCTGGTGGCTGCATAAGATTAAAAATATTTAATATATTACTTGACCACTACTCATTTTCCTTAATCTTATGCATTTGAGTATATTATACCTCATGAAAAATGGAAATAATACTAAATGATTGTCTTTCCTTTTGAATTAAAACATTATATAATATTATAGAATTAAAATATTATACTTGACAACTACTCATGTCCTTATTCTTAACAAATATAATTTTTAAACGATTATAAGGAAAGTAATTAACCCAACCGAATTATAATTCTATATAATAATATTTTAATTGAGTAGAATCCTACGTATATAGCTTCTTAATACCTAGGTTTCTGAAGGTTTCTCTAATAGTTGACCTACTATATATAATCGTTTAATGTAACAGATTAGTAAAGTTAAGTTGAAGATTAATAACATGAAAATACAATTAAGTTGAAGATTAATTGTAATCTAGACTGATAACTATGGACATGGAGAAGAATTGACTGATTTGGTGGATCAAAAACTTTTTTGTTATCTTCATAATATGGGCCCTAATATTCAATTCGTTAGTGGATTTCTTTTAGCAAGGGCCCTAATATTATGGATTGTACACATACAATGACGATAAATTCGAAGGCTCAAGAAAAAAATGAATACGATTAATTATTTACTTGAATAATATTACTTTTTTACGGGAATCCAGTAATTAGTTTTCACACGCAACAGTTATTATTAGGGTAAAAAGGTGGCAACTCAACCGTCAAAAATTTAGAAGCCTCTTTGTGTAGTATATATAGAGTGTTGCGCATATCTCTTCTACCAAAGCACCTAGATCTCTTTCTGTCCTTTTATTTCAAGAAATACAGAAGATCTTTGTAAGAAATTTTTGTTTACGTTTGGATTTGGTTCCTTTCTCATTTTTTTTTAACTATCTTTCATAGATCGAGTTTAGACAGTTTAGAGTGAAGAGTAAACAGAGATTCGTATTAAGTAGAAACTTATTCGATTTCTAGATCTATTTTATATAAAAAACAATGTTTACATAATCTTTTATATTTTGTTTAGATAACCTTTATATATTTTATACTTTTTTATGATCTTATCGAGTTTAGACAGTTTAGAGTGAAGATTAAATAGAGATTCGTATTAAGTAGAAACGTATTCAATTTCTAGATCTATTTTATATAAAAAACTTTGTAGAAATAATCTTTTATATTTTTTTTAGATAATCTTTACATATTTTATACTTTGTTTAGATCTAACAGATTTGTGTGTAGATGATCAAGCATATATTTTAACAAGTTTTTTATTAAATGAACATGCAGATCACGATCAAGGGATGGCATCCAACCGCGAGAGGAACCTCAAGCAACCTATGATTGAAGATTATGGACGCTCAATGGGAGAGGCGTACTGGAATGGAATGTATGATAGGATCAAGCATTACCGAGCACTTCTCAAGATGTACAGGGAGTTGCAGCATGCCGAGCATGAACGACACAAAGCAGAGCTCGAAGTCTATCGCATTGCCGGTAAGTTGGAAGTGATTGAAGATCTCTTCAACCAGATTTGGTATTCCGATAGATGCTGACGAATTTAGTACCTGCAAAAAAATGGAACCAGGATCAGATCGTGCAGAATTAGTTAAAGCGGCAAAGTTAATTGTATGGGATGAGGCGCCTATGATGAGCAGACACTGTTTCAAGACGTTGGATCGCAGTATGCGTGATATTATAAGATCTTCTGAAGACAAACCTTTTGGAGGTAAAGTTGTTGTTTTTGGTGGAGATTTTAGACAGATTTTACTGGTTATACCTGGGGGTGGTAGAACAGAGACGGTTTTGGCGGCTCTTAATTCGTCGTATCTTTGGGAGCACTGCAAAGTTTTGAAGCTAACAAAAACATGAGATTGCTCGCTGGTCTTACTGATGATGCAGAAAAAGAGCTTCAATCCTTCTCAAACTGGATTTTGGATATTGGAGATGGAAAAATAAATTTGCCTAACGACGGTCAAGTTGAGATTGACATCCCTTCTGATTTGCTGATTAAAAATAATGGAGAAGATCCTATTGATACTATGGCAAAAGAGGTTTATGGACAAGCTTTTCAAACCTCAACAGATAAGGATTTATATAGACATCGAGCCATTCTTACTCCCACTAATGATGAAGTGGATAAAATAAATGATTACATGCTTTCGCAGTTGCCAGGTAACATGTTCAATCATTTACTCTTATGTTTTACTAGCAATAAGAGGTCACTAAAGAAAAGGATTTACATATAATTTCAGGTGAAGAGAAGGTTTACCTTAGCTCAGACAGTATTATCCCATCCGATGTTGACATAGAAGAAACTGTAGTATATCATGTAGAGTTTTTGAACAGTGTTAAAGTGGCTGGACTGCCTAGACATTGTTTGAAGCTCAAGGTGGGTGCTCCTATTATGTGTCTCCGTAACATTGATGTTGCTGATGGCTTATGTAATGGTACTAGGCTAATTGTTACTCAGTTACTGCCCCATGTGATAGAAGGTAGAATTATAACCGGAAACAATATTGTGGGTGACAAGGTTTGGATCTCTAGAATGTTAAAAGACAGTTTCCTGTTACATTGGCAGAAGACAGTTTCCTGTTACATTGGCAGAAGACAGTTTTCCTTCAGAATGCGTCGAAGACAGTTTCCTGTTACATTGGCATTCGCGATGACCATCAACAAAAGTCAAGGTCAAACACTAGAAAGTGTTGGTTTGTTCCTGCCTAGGTCAGTATTCTCTCATGGTCAGCTCTACGTAGCACTTTCAAGAGTTAAGTCGAGATCGGGATTAAAAATCCTAATAACTGGTAAAGAATCGAAGCAGCAGACCAAAACATTGAATGTTGTCTACAAACAAGTTTTCCAGAATATTCTGTAGTCAGGGTACGTGATTTTAATATACTTTTTCAAATAATTTTCTTTTTGATATATAAACTTTTACATTTATTTTTTGACAAGGTATTGGAATATGGGTACTGATGAGGTAGAAGAGAGATTTTATTTTATTACCATCCATCATTCTGCCTATTTCTATGACGGTATGGAATTTAATATTATTTACAGATACAATAAAGAGTGAAATTATTTTATATCTATCACAAAAATTTATCCGGTCTTAGGGCTTACAAACTAAAATATTTTTTTGCAGGTGTCTAATGGATTTGCTACACCTTTATCGAGATTTTGTACTTCATAAATTTATATTATATATGGATAATAATTTTATTTTTATTTTGGGAGCTTATTTTGAAATTTATTATATTTTCTTTTAATATGTGTACAGAAATAATTATGAAAATTAAACATAATACTATTATTCACCTAAAAATAAAAAATACAACATATATATAATACAATTCTAATTACAAAGGATAATATAAAATATGTTACTTCTAAAACTGTACACTATTTATAAGAAGTCTTAGCAAATCCATTAGATGACGAATGAAAATATTTTCGTAAAACACACTAATTATTTTGAGACTTTGCAATTATACATACATACAATAACTGCTCGCACCATGTGCGTTATTTTATACCCTCTCATACAATGTCAAATATTGAGTACCGGCTTTTCTCCATGGTGTAGGGTTTCTCCAAAACATGGTAGTATGATGATGTACAGTCCGTTACTTCTAAACCGATACACTATTATAATAAATTTTTGAACATTCTTATGCCCACACAGGGTGCGGGCCGGTCACCTAGTATTAAGTTAATTAATAAACATGAT